CGATCATGTCCTTCCAGTGCTTCACCTCGCCGGGGCCACTCTTCCAGGACAGGTAGATCTGTTGGGACATGGCAGCCCTTGGACCCACGGCCCCTCCAGCCCCACCCCGCTCTCCGGCACTGCTGTCTTCACCCCTGATCTCCTCCCTTCCCGCTGCCCTGGTGTGTGCCACCAGCCACAGGCAGCGGCCCCGGGCTCTGTGCAGGGTCAGGCTATTTTTATCCATCGATTTTCCACATGGTGACGCGGAAAACCGCACATGCCAATCCTCCCCGCAGCTGACAGCTTGGGGAGCCCGTGCCACCGCACCAGCTAAGCAGATCACTGTGCCGGAGTGGGGTTTGTTGCTAATTATACAATCAAAAGTGATTAGCAAGCTGCTGGTGACAGCGGTGCGGCCACGGCGTGAAGGGCACGCTCCTCTCCTCGGGCTCCGCCACTGGCAGCACCGCTTTACTCTCCGGGGCAAAGCCACGACATCATGGGCACCACAAGTTTATCCATCCGTCTGTCCATCCAGGCTGGCATTGGGCAATGGGTGCAGCTGTGCCTGTGCCACTGGCAATGTCCCCTCTGGGTTGTGCCCATGCTGGGGATGCCAGCATCTCTGCCCCGCTCCAGCAGCCCACGGTGCCAAGCCGCTGAGGCCGTCTCCTCCCGGGTTTTATCCCCATCTACATGTTTCCTTGATTCCTTTAGGGATCATTGACTCTCTGCCGGTAATATTGGGGATTACTGTGCTCGTTTGTTATGGTTACCCTAACGAGCGGAGAGCTGGATGGATTTAACGTAAAACAAATCGAGGCGGGGTGAATTCCTCCATTCCCATCATTGGGAAGTGGTGCGTAATCCTGGTGCAGGGACAGGGGCTGGGGTCCGTTCAGTGGCGGACACGGACCCCGGGGACCCCTGGCTGAGCCCTGTGCCCCATTTCTGCTCTCGCGCAGCCGGGGACAGTGCCCTCTGTGGGGGAGCTCCAGCTCTATCTGGTGCTGCAGCACATGGGAGCCATTGGGGACTTTGATTTTTACCTGGCTATAAATAGATTTTTGGCAGGTGGACGCTCACCCCAGTGCAGGCTGTGCCGCAGCATGGCACAGTGGACGGTGTGGCACATCACCTCGCTGGATGGGGGCCACTGCATCGTCTCCCGGCTTGTGCCAGGTGAGTCTTTGCTGTCACATGCCACAGCCAGGAC